CGTAAAGAGGAAAAAAAACAACAGCAATTACTCATGTTTAAGGCATCGCGCGATGCTTTAGAATCTGAGCATAGTAATACCATAATGTTTCCTTGAAGAATACGATTATGGGAGACTTTTAATTTCTATCGTGTTGTTTTCGTAAATCATACCAATAATATGTTTCATGAAAGCAAATGATTTTATGCGAAGGAAATCTAATTTTATGCATAATTTTATGATAAATAACTTTTGTTCTATAAAGCTCAAAACTGTATTTCGAGAGAATTTATTACTGGATTTCGTATACTGAATAACATCTATTCTTTCAAAAATCAAATAATACGTACAATAAATCATGGATGTTATCAGTCTTCAGTAATATAAATTTCATTTCACAAAACACGCAATAATTCAATTGATAATAATGGTTTTCGTATGAAAATTATACCGTGCTGTCTTAAATTATAAGCAAGCATGTATTTCATAATTTTTGATATACAGAAACCTGACAAACTTTTCCATGCATGTATTCTCATTTATTAGCATCTGGTTATTGTCAGCTTTAACGGCGTGAGCCTTTGTTATAGAATGCAATGAATCTTTTAATAGAGTATCAAGACATGTCTCGCACCTGCCGTCCACTATAAATGATAAGCGAGGCATAGTGCGAAGCAAAATCAAGTATTGAAATCGAACAACTTCTGGTCGTGCAGAAAAATTGTAGACGTTTTATTGTTTTACTATTTCAAACACGCGTGGCTCAAGATCGATTTCTGAAATTTCAACACACAGATCTTATATTTCCAGATTAATCTTAAACGAATGTTTCATTTCTTTAGACTAAGGATATTTTCATTTAAATAGCTATCGATTCAAAAAACACCGTATTAATAATTATATACGTTTTAATAGTTTATTTTTCGATTGATTTGAAGTAAAGAATATTTACATATATTTACACATTCCTGACTGTACCGCGAGGAAATGTTGTAGATAACAATGAATAGCGTTCATTATTTTCAGTGCATAGAACATACAGCTGACCAAAAGCGTCGATTTCTACAAAAATAGGCCGATTAATGATGTCTGAATGTGTGTGTCTAATTTGGCATTCGATGTGATAAATATGTAAGTAATATATGTATGTAAGTCTTTGCACTCGGAGAATTTTCTCAGTATCAGGTATAATCAATTAAAACATATTTATTTGGGAAGTAGAACAAACGCTGCAAATTAAATGTAAAATGATATAAGAGTGTATGATCATACAAAAAAATATAATTTTGAAAATGCCATAATTATCAGCAGTCTTGTTATAATTTGCAAAATATCATTTTTTATTAATAAGAAAAGTCTTATATTTGTATTATAATTATAGTATGGTATACTTTGGTCAAATTTATTTGCCCAACATTTCTATTAAATAAAACATTGGCTTCTCGGTGTGTTCCATGGTGAATTTCAGAATTATTATCTTTTATAAAATTTTATATAACTTTCTCCTAAAAGCTTGTCAAATTATATGAACTGAACCGAGTTGTTTTCGTTTAGGTACATCAGCACTAAAAGGGTTACGATCCCTGTTCCAATATAACCGATATCGATAAATCATCTGAATCGAATTGTTTAATAAAACTCGGAAAGGAAATAGACGCCATCGAAGCGAGTCTAAGCAATTATCTCGGCGCATTTATGTTAACATCGTGAAAGAAAGTAGCCGTGAATTTACACGGAATCCGGTATGTGAACTAGTAGGTCGTTCACGATTCGTGCACACTTCGCATTATTCTAGCAACCAATCAACGTGATGGATCGATTTGTTCGTGGTTCCAGAACCGTGCAGACTTTGCTGAATAACCTTTCATCCATTACATCGGCCGTGCTCACCGACGAAATATATCCCACCGTCATTCAGGAATGCTGCGATCTGTCTTCCTGCTTCAATAAACTCCTTAAGTCTTGCGATTATCAATCGACCTTCGGGCGCAACTAATGTAGCCGACGAATTACATTAATTTTTCCCTAATTCGCGCTTAGATTGCGCACAAAAATGGACAATTTGGGAAGAGGAGATACGATTATACGAGCCTTGCCGCTCGTATTTGTACAGTAAATTCCCCCTAATTGACGCTCAGCTTGGAACAAAAATAGATCATTTGGAAAGAGGAGATGCGATTATATTCAAGCCTTGCGGCTCGTCTTTATACGGGGTGTCCTAAAATTATGGTATTTCCGAGAAATGAGGGGTTCTTGAGGTCATTTGTGGTAACTTTGTCCTTAGCGAAAATGCAATCCGCGGCTTTGTTTACGAGTTATTAGCGATAAACATTGACCAATGAGAGGCAAGCTCGGCTGGCGCTAGACGGCCAAGCCAACGAACGGACGAAGCCCAGTTCTGTTCATTGGCTCAGCCGTCTCGTACCAGCTGATCTCACTTCTTATTCAGTGTTTTTCATTGATAACTTTTAAACGAAGCCACGGATTGCACATTTTCGCTAAGGACAAAGTTACTTCAAATAATCTCAGGAACCCCTCATTTCCCGGAAGTACCATAATTTTGGAACATCCTGTACAGTAAACTCTCCCTAATTGGACAAAAATGGACAATTTGGGAAGAGGAGCTGCGATTATTCGAACCTCGCGGCATACTTTTATAGTTGTCGAATGTCAACAATTATATAAAAACGAGATGCATCAATTAGGAAAAATTTACTGTAGTTATTGACTAATCGATAACTATAAAAACGAGCCGCAAGGCTCGAATAATCGTATCTCCACTTCCCAAATTTTCTATTTTTGTGTACAATTCGAGCGTCAATTAGGGAGAATTTACACTGCCGGTCCAAGAGGACTGACACCGCCCAAACTGGAAAGTCCACTGTCAGCCCCCGGGGGCTGATGCCGCGCTCAGCCTGTTAAATAAGTAAATAAATATGTAAAACCCACAATATTCTCTAATGGCCAATAAGGTAGAGACACAGCTAAAATAAATTACATAAAATGATGTAGAGCGTCACATAATTTGACGTAACTAATTATACCATGGTTGAGTACACATGCAGGTTAATTATGCTTTTTGAAATGGACTCATAACTTTTTTAATTGCAAAGCTAACTTATATTATGGTCTAATAAGATGAGAAAAGTACAGGCAATTGTTGGCACTAGCAGTTGTTGTTCATCGTTTACACAAAATTGCTACACCCAGTCATTTTTCTGCGAGTTTAATTGGCTAAATTACTTGCAATATTATGCAACATACTTTGCCTCAGTGAATAACTACCACTTTTCTTATTAATAACTTTCTACTAAATAACAGCCGGCAAACAACACCTTTACAGTTTACGATACTGATCAGATCGATGACCTTAGCAACATGTTAAAAAATCATCGAGATCGGAGGATGCTGTTTTTTTTTAATAATTGCACATCGAATGCATTAATTTCGTCGTCGTGCATGGCAGTAACATTGAAAGGCGTGCAATAACCTTCACAAAGGTGAGAATCGTGGAAGCAAAAACTGCTAGCGTTAAGTATCCAAATAGGGATTATGGTAGCGCCCGAGTTAAAAAGGGATAATTATGCTAGCGGTACAATCCGATAGAGAAATTCTATTGTTTATCCGCGGAGAACTGGAAACTCTGGAATACGTTTCTTTCCGTACTAACAATAAACTGTTCGGTTTTCATTATACGTTTATGCAAAGTGGTAATTAGATGATTGCAACAGAAGGAAAGTAATTGCGTAGCATCGTCAATGCTGACAACAAGTGGAACCAGTGAGAATTGAATCAGGCACGGGATGATGAGCAATATCTTTTAAATGCTAAGCCGAAGGATGAAGGAGTAACAATAGCGTAGCAACACAAAATAAAGAGTATCAGTTCTTGCAATATTTTTTCATAAACGGTAAACGTGCGATAATCGTTTCGAACTAATGTTTTAATGAGAATTCAAAGGGTCGAAATACGTATGTATGCAAAACAGCAAATATTAGTTCTAGAGGAATATTAGTTTTAAAAAATATTAGTACAAAATATTAATTCTAAAATATTAGCTCAAAATATTAGTTCTAGAGAAAGTGCACGCAGAGTTGTTCTATTAACTTTACGTAGTCATAACTTTCTTCGAATAATTGTATTCAACCACCTAGAACTACTGCTCTACAACGTTTTTCTAGGTTCCACGTCTCAGGCCATTGTTTGCTGAGGAATATGTCGAAAATATAGATGGAGGTTACATCTTCGTCTGGGAAAAGAACGGAGTGTTGGACATTAATCGATAAAATCTTTTAATTTCTTTCATTGGCCAACTGTTACGATTAGAGGGAATTAATTAGAAACTATCGCGTTCAATACAATGGACTTTATAGGATTTAAACCATGCTTGCTTCGACAATAGATAACAGGATTTTTAACGCTAAAACGGCGGACCTTTTTGATAAAAATATAACACCGAGTACGTTCAGGATCATATATAATTTTATTTACCAATTTATTCAACGTATCTTCGAATTCCGTTCTTCCAGATACATTAACTTCCCTATAAACCATAACCGTACCAATGAAAATGACCGATTTCACGTTTTTCATTAAAAAATTGTTGAAACCGTAAAGATTCTTTTCTTAGGAAATTTTCTTAATTCAAGCACACGTTATAAAATAAAATGTATATATTACAACAAAAATTAGGAGACGCCTAAATAAATTAATTCTTGCGATTCTCATAAAGCGACGCAAGTTTTTCAGTTGTAAATTTTTGAATTAACTATCAAGTATTAATTGACAAGTAACAACATATATATCCTGGGTCCAAATGGACCCGAGTCCTGCCGTTCGAGTGTTAATGATCACGTCGCGCACAGAGGAAGCTCGTGCGTTTTCTTTCAGAAACGATCCTCAAGGAACGAGTTTCTAAAACCGTGGAGATGAAGATCGGAACAGACAGCCGTCAGCTGTCAAGTATCTTCCACTAGGTTAAATCGTTAACAACATTGGAAATCGAAAGATTCGCAGCTCACCTTTTCGGAACAGGTACCCGCCTGTGCTTCCACATGTTATCGTTCAGCATCGTACCACCGCACAGGGAAGACGTCGTTCGAACAAACAGAGCCCCGGTTCCTCTAGCTCGATCGGATCCTTAGATCCGAAACGATCGATCGAAATTCATCAAGCGAGAACAACGGCCGTTCGAGCGCGATTGGTACATGCACTTCTTCCTCGGCAGCGCGATAACTGGACTACGATAGAATTATCGTCCCTATCGATCACTGAAACTTCAACGGACCGCTTCGGAGCTGACTCGAAGTGCAAATTGGCCACCGGTGCGTAAAATGTATTCACTTCGGATATCCGAACTCGTCGAACGAGCTCGTCTTCACTGAAAATATCGTGGGCTCGATCGAGATCGGATTCGACGGCCGAGTTTTCCGACGGGTTTCACAAGGGCGGTTGGCGTGGAGGATTTTCGGCTGGCTCGGGGAATTTTTTCCGGCGATTGTCTGTCATCGATCGGAGATTGAAGCGCGCGACAGGTGTTATTCGCGAGCGATAGCCACCGAACCATACGCACGGTCGGCTGGTCAGCACGCGACTGCCGTGAGCTCGGCTCGGCGCGACGCGACGGCCACTCGGATACTCCGATATTCCACGCGAGAAGGCCGAGCAGGAGAAGAGGAGACCAGGAGACGAGGAGACGACACGCGATACACTCTACTCGGAGCCCGCTCCGTTACTCACAATCAAACGGCCTGGCCCGTAATGCGATTCTACTCCACATTCGCCCGCGACGCTCTGTTCCCACCGACCTCTTTCGTCCGCGAGAAAGGCGCCACTTTCCTGCAAGATCGCGGCTGCGGGAAGGTGCTCGACCCCGAACTTCGATTTCAGATTTCAGGCACCACAAGGCCTCCGCGGCCTCGTGCAGGCCTACGAGGTCCGCACGATACCGAAGCCTAACCTTTTGAATTACGCGGCAACGCGGCGTCTTACGAGGGAATCGCGAGTTAATCCTTTGCAATCGAAGTTATTTAATAACCGAAATTGTCGACTTTGTTATATTACTATTCTTTCTGGGGAACACTGGTTCCCCTATGATGAGCTTCTATAGTACGTACATTGTTTTAAATTTTATACAATTATATAAACACATTCGTCTTTATTTATTTTATATTTATTATTGCAACAAAATATTATTTTTATTGATTTCCTGGAGCATTTCTACTCCTTTCTGCTCCCTATAAGGGTAATCAGAATAACCCGGTTATTGAACAAACGTACACTGGACGGAATTTGTGTACAGGGACACCGATATTAACAACATCAATGAAATTAAAGGGACATGAATCAAATTAAATGTCAATATGAGGGAATAATAAGAAATAAAATGACACCTTAACAAACACTCCTTTATTTTTTGTATAAACAATATAAAATAATAAAACGCATAGTTATGTATAGATATACAGAGTGAAATTTTCAGTCTCAACTAAATGATATAAACAAAATCTGTTCTTAAAGAGGAGCGTGTTAGGTCGTAAAGTTTGTTGATATTTTCAATTGTCCAGCATAACCAGGATTATTGTGGAACTAATCCAGTGGCCCACAAAAGTGTTCGTACACCTTTTAAAACGCAATGATTTTTTTAAAACTGGACTAAGTGACTTGAATTCTTTTCTAGATGATAACAGGACTAGTTTACTAGACGATGATCGAAATGCTTTTTTTAAATTTTACTATCACTGGAATAACGAATCGGTTGACGTTGTTATGAATTACAACAAATTAAAGACGGCAAATAATCACAGTTTTATCACGATTTTTACCAAAAGATGAAAGAAATCTGCAGTATTTTAAATCTTTCAACGTCTTCGATCAACGATTTCGATCAAATTTTCAGCTCATATGTAAGTTACTGAGATCTACATAAGGCATTTTTATAACTTTTGTTATAGGCTCATATAAAAATGTTAAAAATGAGAGTTTTTTATTTTTTTTTGTCATCCCTAGTAATAGCAAAATTAAAAGAAGGCATTTTAGTCTAGTAGACTAGTCCCTCTGTTATCTAAAAACAATTCAAGTCGTTTAGTTAAGTTTTAAAGAAGTTATTACATTTTAAAAGGTATACGAACACCTTTGTGGGCCACTGTATGTAGACTTAGAGTCATATCACAAACTCTCTCAATGGTTATAAAATAGTCTTAAATAAATTTGAAACATTTACTATAGATACTACAAAATTGTATGTTAAATTACACCCGCGGTACCCTATATCTTCAACTATGCATAAGAGACACATTCACGGACCATTAATTATTGAGAATGCTATTGTACCTATTGAAAGACTATCAGAAGAAGCGGCCGAGGCAAGAAACAAACACTTTCGTTGTTACAAAAAAGGTCTTGCACGAACATTTTCTGAAGAAATCATGTAATGTCGATGTGTTGAACAGATTTTTATTACTTCGGAACCTTTGATATCCGGTACGAGACCGCTCGCAAGGAAAAAGTGAAGTCCATATCTAATCGAAACATTACACTTGATTCTACCTTCTAAACCTGCATCAATTGTAGAAGAACAGGAATCAGAAGAAGAGGATGACGATGAAGAGGAGGTGCAGGAGGAGAAAGAAGAGGAAAAAGAAGGAGAAATTGAAGAAGAAGAGGAGGAAGAAGAAGAAGAAGGAATCATATTAGATGAAGAGAAAACATACTCAGGCGAAGAACTTTCAGACGCACAATTGAATGAAAACGAGTAGAACCGGATAGAAATATAGGGTTTCCTGTTAATTCATTTACAGTGGCCCACGAAAATGTTCGTATATCTACAAAAACGCAATAACTTTTTTGAAACTGGACTAAGTGACTTGAATTTTTTTTAGATGATAGCGGAACTGGTTTACTAGACGATGACCAAAATGCTTTTTTTAAATTTCGCTATTACTTTGAATGACAAAAAAAAAAGAATAAAAATCTCTCGTTTTTTAACTGTTTTATCTGAGCCTATAACAAAAATTTAAAGAACGTTTGTCGTAGATCTTGATTTATAGGCGTGCTGAAAATTTTATCGAAATCAGTTAACGTTGTTATAACAAATATATAATATATATAGTTATATAATATATAATATATAATATATAATATAGTTATAACAAATTGAAGATGGCAAAAATCGCAGTTTTAACACGATTTTAACCAAAAACTGGAAGAAATCTGCAGTTTCTTAAATCTTTCAACGCCTGTAGTTCGACTCTGGGATCACCGACAAAGTTAAAAAATGAAAGTTCCTTACTTTTTTTGTCATCCTAAGTAATAGTAAAATTTAAAAAAGGCATTTTAGTCATCGTCTAGTAGACTAATCCCTCTATCATCTAAAAAAATTCAAGTCATTCAAGTTAAGTTGAGTTCTATAAAAGTTATTACGTTTTAGAAGGTGCATGAAAACACTTTTGTAGGCCATTATCTGCATATAAAAATTATCTTCATTAAAATAATTTTTTTGGATTTTCAGGATAAACACAAACTGTTTCAACTCAGTGCAATAAGATCTATACGAGGAAAATCCCTTCCTAGACCTATGACTGCGGAAATAAATAAATACATACGCACAAGAAGGAACAGTGATGTAAACAGTTTCTTGAAATAATTCATTAGTAAGATACAAAGATACAAAGAATGCGAACGTGCAGGCATGTGAGAAATTCTGCGATTCTCAATATATATATAATCACTTTATCGTAAATCGACTATAAAACACACAGTTGGAACAAGTTGGAACCAATGTTTCCAGATTCTGAGTCGTAAAACTTCAGAGAAACAGAAAATTCATGTATGAACGCTGAGGCTGACCCGGACGTATAACAAAATCATTAACAAAGTCTAAGAATCATAAACAGGCTTACCAAAACGTTCATTATTCTTAAATATTGATAACTACAAAAATATTTATGACGCATAATGGACACCAGTTTAATGATATACTGTATACTTAACGAAAAAACGTTTGTATAACCAATGTTACGTAATTTGTGGAAATAAGTTGAAAATTACGAATACAGACACACAAAATAACTCAAGAAATTGTTAAATTTCTTCCACGATAATACTGCTCGTGGCTAAAATCGAAATCATATGACCTGAGGTGAAAAATGGAAAACTATCATCCTTTGCGATGAAAAGAAGTTTAATCTAGGGCTCGCAATTAACGGCACGCAACATAGGGATCGCGACGGCCAGCCCTCTAACTCCTGTCACATGTCTCGCTCACCCGTGGAGGCCTCTTTCTCGGTCCTTATGTTGCGTGCCGACAAATTGCATGCTGAAAAATTACACTTTCAACGTGGTTATCGTCAGCAAATGATATTCAATTATTTTCTAACAAATCCGCGTATTTATCTGCGTTTATTCTGATAGAAATTTTGCAGAGCAATCCGTATCCCATAAGCCAGAGTAACGCAACCCATATCGACAAACTTCCTCCCCCGAAATTTCTGCTGACAGCTACTGATTCTTTTGAGCGTAGATCACGGATCGAAATTTGTCGTCCAATTTTGTTAAACAAGACTTTTGTAATAACAAGATTGTGGGAACGAGTCAGATAACGACAGAAAATGTGTCAAATAATGGCGATCTAGCCGGATATTGAAATATTTGATCGGGAAGAAAAATGTACAAAAGGGTATCTGAGTACAGTGAATTCTCCCTAATTGACGCTCAGTTTGGAAACAAACATGGACAATTTGGGAAGAGGAGATACAATTATTCGAGGCTTGCACCTGGTTTGCACCTCGTTTTTGTGTCAAAGTTGAGCGTCAATTAGGGGAATTTACTTTACAAGATGTCCCAAAATTATGGTACTTCCGTGAAATGAGAGGTTCCTGAGATCATTTGAAGTAACATTTTCTTTAGTGAAAACGTAATTCGTGGCTTCGTTTACACGTTATTAACGAAAAACGCTGATCAATAAGAGGCGAGAGGTTGCCTGCGAGGCAACCGAGCCAATGAAGCGCCAGCCGAGCTCGCCTCTCATTGGTCAATGTTTTTCGCTAATAATTCGTAAACGAATCCGCGGATTGCATTTTCGCTAAAAGAAATAAAGTTACTTCAGATGACCTCAGGAAACCCTCATTTCCCGGAAATACCATAATTTTGGGACACTCTATATAAAGAGGAGCTTCAAGGCTCGAATAATCATATCTCCTCTACCCAAATTGTCCATTTTTGTGCACAATCTGAGCGTCAAGGGTCTTCGTGGTCATAATCTTAGAAATATATTTGCAAATGCATATGATCGAATTCTTAAAGTTAGCGAAGTTAGGGTAGCTGTTTGAACGGTCCGAACGGACTGCTAGCAATAGAATACGACATAATGTATAGAAATAAATAAAAAAAAAAGATCGACGGTGGAAGGGGAAACTCTTTATTCTTTAACAAGGGGAAGGTCCCCTGTATGATTCTGGAGTGACAGATTAGGTGTAAGTTTAGGTGTAAGATTTTTATCTAAATGACACAAAATTACTTTGAACGTAATAATGTGATTGCATTATTATATTATTTTTTGCGTTAAAATTGTCTAATCTACGGATAAATCAACATTTAATATTTATCATTTTCGCGCGACATTGGTCTAAAATGATAACAATGCAGAAATTCGGACAGGTATTTCCAAAGATCGTAATTTTTTGTTACACAATGTAGGCACACTGTCAGCTTGCTATCAGTTTGGTGCTGATTTTCTGCTGCTCGAA